TGGTGCTGGGAGCACATTCTATGCCGGGTACTCAAGGGTCTCACTAGCAATGTGGTGCTGGGGTCACATTCTATGTCGGGTACTCAAGGGTCACTAGCAATGGGGTGCTGGGAGCACATTCTATGCCGGGTACTCAAGGGTCTGACTAGCAATGTGGTGCTGGGGGCACATTCTATGTCGTGTACTCAAGGTCACTAGCAATGTGGTGCTGGGGGCACATTCTATGTCGTGTACTCAAGGGTCTGACTAGCAATGGGGTGCTGGGGCACATTCTATGTCGGGTACTCAAGGGTCACTAGCAATGTTGTGCTGGGGGCACATTATATGTCGTGTACTCAAGGGTCACTAGCAATGTGGTGCTGGGGGCACATTCTATGCCGGGTACTCATGGGTCTGACTAGCAATGGGGTGCGGGGGGCACATTCTATGTCGTGTACTCAAGGGTCTGTCTAGCAATGTGGTGCTGGGAGCACATTCTATGTCGGGTACTCAAGGGTCACTAGCAATGGGGTGCTGGGAGCACATTCTATGTCGGGTACTCAAGGGTCTGACTAGCAATGTGGCGCTAGGGGCACATTCTATGCCGGGTACTCAAGGGTCTGACTAGCAATGTGGTGCTGGGAGCACATTCTATGCCGGGTACTCAAGGGTCTGACTAGCAATGTGGTGCTGGGGTCACATTCTATGTCGGGTACTCAAGGGTCACTAGCAATGGGGTGCTGGGAGCACATTCTATGCCGGGTACTCAAGGGTCTGACTAGCAATGTGGTGCTGGGGGCACATTCTATGTCGTGTACTCAAGGTCACTAGCAATGTGGTGCTGGGGGCAGATTCTATGTCGTGTACTCAAGGGTCTGACTAGCAATGGGGTGCTGGGAGCAAATTCTATGCCGGGTACTCATAGGTCTGAATAGCAATGTGGTGCTGGGGGTACATTCTATGTCGTGTACTCAAGGGTCTGTCTAGCAATGTGGTGCTGGGGGCACATTCTATGTCGGGTACTCAAGGGTCTGACTAGCAATGTGGTGCTGGGGGCACATTCTATGCCGGGTACTCAAGGGTCTGACTAGCAATGTGGTGCTGGGGGCACATTCTACGTCGGGTACTCAAGGGTCTGACTAGCAATGTGGTGCTGGGGGCACATTCTATGTCGTGTACTCAAGGGTCACTAGCAATGTGGTGCTGGGGGCACATTCTATGCCGGGTACTCAAGGGTCTGACTAGCAATGGGATGCTGGGTGCACATTCTATGCCGGGTAGTCATGGGTCTGACTAGCTTTGTGGTGCCGGGGGCACATTCTATGTCGTGTACTCAAGGGTCACTAGCAATGTGGTGCTGGGGGCACATTCTATGCCGTGGACTCAAGGGTCTGACTAGCAATGTGGTGCTGGGGGCACATTCTACGTCGGGTACTCATAGGAAAAATACAACGAAGATTTATCTTAAGGAGACACTCTTTGCTGTATAGCGTGACGTATTGATCTATTTCGATCAATGAAGGTGTATATGGATAGAGAGTACAGATGTATACGGACATTTGCGCACACTCTTGAAACGGTCGTTGATATGGACACTAAATATCATTGACGATAGGCATATTAAGACCATGTTTGAAATGTTCAGTTTTCTATTTATATAATTTTGTTTGTTTTTTCTCACACTCAACAAAATTCCAGCAATATGACTTTATTCCATTGGCATTTAATAATGGAGTGAAGTGATTGATAGTATTAACAACGTCCATTAACGCCACCGGAATGCCATACAGCGTCAGGTAATCAATTCCATAGCCTCGTGGGGCGGTGGGGTAGCCTGGTGGTTAAAGCGATCGCTCGTCACGCCGAAGACCCGGGTTCGATTCCCGATTTGGGGACAATGTGTGAAGTCCATTTCTTGTGTACCCCGCCGTGATATTGCTGGAATATTGCTTAAAGCGGCGTAAAATCAAACTCACTCACTCACTCATGGCTTCGTAAGAAAATCATACGTTCAGATCTGAATGCCAACGTAGACCCTTTTTATGTAGCAACATCCTACAGCTACATTTACCTACAGATAGTCCTTTGAATCTGAAACCATGTTCAATCGTTACATGTCAGTACCGTTATCACTGCCCATGCGTTATGTCAAGCCGTGTTCTCCTCGTCTTTGACTGATACAGGGACGTCAAAATAGCGTTTGTTTGTACGACACTTGTACGTATGCATAATGCCGTTACTGTCTAAATATGATATGGTTGACTGGCCCTTCAGAATACAACAGTACATCCATCGTGTTCTGAAACGACATTCACTGTTTGACACATGTTAATAAGTAGCTAGTGAACATGGGTACCCGTGAAGATCGGAGTAGACTAGGCCTTCAGTAATCCATGTTTGCTGTGGAAGGCGACTATGCTTGTCGTAAGAGGCGACTAACGGGATCGGGTTACCAAGGCAACCTGTACTATGGTCCCTATGGCCTGATTTTCAGAATAAAATATCGGTATCTGTTTCAGTACAATGTGTCTTTGTTCTAAGGACAACGGCCCACATACAAGCCATCAGTGAAGGCTTTTAACAGTATTCCAGTTATATCACGGCGTGTCAGCTTAATGTGGGAGGAGAGCCCGAAGTGATGAAGGTCTCAGACGTTTACCACTTCGGTGAAACCCACGAGCACGGCAATGGTGCTGACAAACCTAGAAACATAATCGGGGCAAACCGGGATTCGAACCCACAATCATAGGTTTCTGGCGTACCCAAGGGACGCAACTCTGCACAGCGAATCGCGGCGCCTTAGACGACTGGTCCACCCGTGCCCCATATAGGCACAGAATCTTCAGCAGCAGCATCAAAGGTAAATATCTTTAACTCCTCTGTTGTTGTGACACGAATCTTTCCAGCTTTATTAATAGTGTCTTCGTTATCACGAACTTGTGATTTCCAACTGCAGATAGTATGTGGCGGTAGTTAAGCTACACATTCCTAATACACAATCGTTATCGCAATGTCACATTTAGACGTCAGTATGGCGGGCCACTGTCAATGTATCAATCAATCTTTATATACTGAACAAAAAAGTATTTTGGGGATATTTTTATGAAAGTGTGTGCTCAGTCTTCATTAAAAAATAACACAGAAAAGGTTCCTGATCCGTTCAGTATACATTGTATCAAGGATGCCGTATGTCTGTAGTACAATAACTAGTTACAATTGGAATACCTACAGGTAAAGACACTATTAAAACGCATGGCATGTAAAACTGCAAAAGGCACACGAATAACTTCCTTACAATTAGAACAAATTCAGTTGTCATTGATAGACATTTATTTTCTCATTTATATGCAGTGGACATATACAGTGGACCATAAATATCTCTGGGAAATGTTTTTAATATTTTAATATTATTGACGTTTTGGACATTAGTATTAGTTTTGGGCATATAAAATGCTGAAATGCTGTTGCAAAGAGTGAGTGAGTTACATCGCATCGGCAAAATCGCAGCCACACCGCGAAGAGAACATGTTAATTCATTGCATACAGAGATTGGGACAATATTGCAAGAAATATGCCTTCTCTCTAACGTGTCATGAAAATACATAAGTCCACATAGGCAAATTTCTTGTGGCTTGATGATATAAAATCTTTAAATTTGTAGAGTGAATTTAACCAAGATGTTTAACTAAAGCTTCAGGTATATCGATGATCTGATATCGTACAATAACGGTCAAATAGCCAATTCCCTTCCACTGATTTAATCACCTGAACTAGAAATAAAGGAGACCAGTAAAACTGACTCGTTTGTTTTATATTTAGATCATTCAGAGTGACAAAAAACTCTCCACAAGACTGTGATGACTTTAACTTTGCAATAGTCAACTTTCCATTCATGCATGCAAGCAATATTTCTGCAGCTCCAGCTTTTGGTGTTCGCATTTCCCAAGTATTGAGAAACAAACGAGCATGCTCTTTCTACCAATATTTATCAATATCATGCAACTCTTCCCCAGAAGTTGCTTCATCACGATTACAACATTCAAGGCTTCAGTAAAGCTTTCCAAACGTTCTATGATAGACATGTGAAGGGCATTTCCAAATGTGACGCATCAATGACAAAAATTATGTCTGATGCAATTCCTCATCTTGACTTGTACCATATGTTCCCCTGTTTTTTTTAGACTTTTAGATGTACAATTGACTTGCCTTCGCATGTGTTTGTGACGAGTGCCACCACTTTGGCAGGATACGCTCACCTTTTCGCGAAAATTGGCATGATCACAATTTGATCGTGGTTCGTGAACACATGCACATATGAAAATAGTTTTTTTGTGCTTGATTCAAGTGAGTAAGAGCAATGTATATCAAGTTGTAAGTGAGTGACCTGGGTGTTTTTTATTATTACAGCTATATAGCGCATGTTGTCGTGGTGTGAAAGGAGAGGCCGTTAGATACTTACCACTTGTGGGGATCATGTTAGAGAGAATGTGATATATGATACCAGAGGATCCTGGTACGTCAAAGGGCCGCAACTCCACACGGCGAATACCGGTTCCTTCAACTACTTGGGCACCATTGCCCTGTATGTTTTTGTAACGCACACGCGCGTTTCATATATTTCATCGGCAAACATTTATCTAAACACATTTGTCTACACATTAATTTCCTCACGATATTGAAGTGAAAACCAACTTATACAAAAACCCGCTGGTTCACATCGTCTTATATTTCCGACGTTACAGTGGGCGTGAATCATTTGGTCTCGCTTTCATTAATATAACTATTCGTTATAGAGTTTTACAATGGGAGCGAGCTATGTAAATATTGACCCGTACGTTTTGCCGCCAGACAGCAAGATGGTGCTTGAGACGGTCCGACAAGGAAGCTTGTTAACGACATACATCGTGACCAGATAATCTTTTGAAATTGAAGCCATGCTCAAACACAATGACATGTTATTACGTGGAGCTTTCAACACACTGCAGGCGGGGAGGGAGGGTAGATTGCTTGATGCCCCCCCGGCCCCAAGTATACAATGAAACACACTGTTAGTGTCTGAGACGAACATAACGTAAGATATACGGACCAACGACGCAGTAGCATGACATACGCTTGTATTCTGCGTACAGGTTGCGAATGTTCGCATGACATATGCAGACTGCTCCCTGATTCCATGTGATTAATGGATATTTGCATCGATAAGCAAGGTAAGTTTGTGTGAAATCTTAAGATATTTGTATAAAATAGATTTGGACATCGCAGTTAGTATCATGCGTTTATGAGTGTGTACTAGTACTTATGAGTGAGTTAATGAGTGAGTTTCTGCGTGAGTTTACGATTAGCTTATGGGTGAGTTTCTGCGTGAGTTATGATTTAGTTTATGAGTGAGCTTTTGCGTGAGTTAATGAGTGAGTTTCTGCGTGAGTTTATGATTTAGGTTATGAGTGAGCTTTTGAGTGAGTTTCTGCGTGAGCTTATGATTTAGTTTATGAGTGAGTTTCTGCGTGAGATTCTGATTTAGTTTATGAGTGAGTTTCTGCGTGAGTTTATGAGTCAGTTTCTGCGTGAGTTTATTATTTAGTTTATTAGTGAGTTTCTGCGTGAGTTTTTATGAGTGAGTTTCTGCGTGAGTTTCTGATTTAGTTTCTGCGTGAGTTTATGATTTAGTTTATGAGTCAGTTTCAGCGTGAGTTTCTGCTTTAGTTTATGAGTGAGTTTTAATGAGTGAGTTTATGAGGTTTTGAGTGAGTTCATGAGTCATAAGTGACTGAGTATTGCTTATCGCTGCATCCACGAAGCGGTAGCATCATACTAGCCATACTAGTTTATTAGTGAGTTTCTGCGTCTGTTTTTATGAGTGAGTTTCTGCGTGAGCTTATGATTTAGTTTATGAGTGAGTTTCTGCGTGAGTTTATGATTAAGTTTATGAGTCAGTTTCTGCGTGAGTTTATTATTTAGTTTATTAGTGAGTTTCTGCGTGAGTTTTTATGAGTGAGTTTCTGCGTGAGTTATGATTTAGTTTATGAGTGAGTTTTAATGAGTGAGTTTATGAGGTTTTGAGTGAGTTCATGAGTTATAAGTGACTGAGTATTGCTTATCGCTGCATCCACGAAGCGGTAGCATCATACTAGCCTACGATATATACATATACCGGTTTAAAAATGCTAGATCAATAAATGTAATTCATGTAGATGTTATACATTATATGTCAACGTCATGACGAATAAGAGGATTGATGATTGGATGTGAATGAATTAAAGCAGACAAACTTCTATTTAGATATAACTTTATAACTTTATGACTAAAGGTGTGTTACTTTACACTGATCGGTGTCTCCGATGGTAATATAAAATCCTGCTAATACGATGTACAACACAACATTTTTATATATAAAAAACATAGAATCGATCTCTGTATGTGAACAACTAGCATTTGTTTTTTCGCCTTACAAAACACCGTTGCAACCGCTTCCAGGAAAATGACGTTGTCGTGATTCGTTTGCTGATAAAGGGTTACTATCTATGTAAATATAAACAAAGATACCTCACAGAAGTTTTTCATCAAAATTAATGTTTTTCCAATTTGTTTTGAACAAAATCTGCGACCTTTATAGGCATTCGTCCGTATTTTACATGAAGTGAAATTAAGTTTCACAAACATATATTTACATTCATAAACATGCCTTTCAAACTGTATAACCGGATTGTTCCAAAAGAAATGGAAACGGAGAATGAGTGAGTGAGTTTAGTTTAACGCCGCTTTGAGCAGTATTCCAGTTGTATCACGTCGTGTCGGCTTCATGTGGGAGGAAGGTCTGAAATGATGCTGGTCTTAGACATTTACAATTTTGGTGAAACCGACGAGAAAACGTGTATGTTGCAGACAGACTTCGAGGGGGGGGGGGGGCAGTCGTCGAAAGCACCGCGATTCGCTGTGCAGAGTTGCGTTCCTTGGGTACGCCAGGAACCTATGATTATAGGTTGGAATCCCGGTTCGCCCCGATTATGTTTCTAGGTTTGTCAGCACCATAGCCGTGTTCGTGGGTTTCACCGAAGTGGTAAACGTCTGAGATCTGCATCACTTCGGGCTTTCCTCTCACATCAAGCTGACACGCCGCGATATAACTGGAATACTGTTAAAAGCGGCGTTAAACCCAACTCACGTGCACTCACTCACTTGATTCGTGAGATTACCACGAAGTGAGGCTGGTGAAACCCGCAGTAGTGTTCGTGATGCTGACAAACACATGACGTCAACGTCAGAGAATAGTCTCCATTATCCGCTGAAACAGATTCGGGCGTAGGGCTGATAGCGGTGAAAATTATATAACTAGATACTGAAAATCAGTGATGACACCAGGTGTTCGCGTAAAGGGTAAGTATGCCCTGCTCGATCTATACAAACGCCACTTACACACTTTGTATTGGAGAAACAGGTGTTGTTTGTTGCCCAACGCCGCACAGCGGTTCTCTTGACATACGACGGGGGCATCACACATGCGATACTGGACCAGACAATCCAGCGATAGGCCAAGCGATGGACCAGACAATACAGCGATGGGCCAGACAATCCAGCGATGGACCAGACAATCCAGCGATGGGCCAGACAATCCAGCCATGGACCAGACAATCCAGCGATTGGCCAGTCAATCCAGCGATGCACCAGACAATCCAGCGATGGACGAGACAATCCAGCGATTGGCCAGACAATCCAGCGATGGACCAGACAATCCAGCAATGGACCAGAAAATCCAGCGAGCGAACGACCAGGCAATCCAGCGATGGACCAGACAATCCAGCGATGGACCAGACAATCCAGCGATGGGCCAGACAATCCAGCGATGAACCAGACAATCCAGCGATGGACCAGACAATCCAGCGATGGGCCAGACAATCCAGCGATGAACCAGACAATCCAGCGATGGACCAGACAATCCAGCGAGCGATGAACCAGGCAATCCAGCGATGTACCAGACAATCCAGCGATGGACCAGACAATCAAGCGATGGACCAGACAATCCAGCGATGGACCAGACAATCTAGCGATTGGCCAGTCATTCCAGCGATGGACCAGGCAATCCAGTGATGGACCAGACGATACAGCGATTGGCCAGACAATCCAGCGATGTACCAGACAATCCAGCGATGGACCAGACAATCCAGCGATGGACCAGACAATCCAGCGATGGACCAGACAATCCAGCGATGGACCAGACAATCAAGCGATGGACCAGACAATCCAGCGATTGGCCAGTCAATCCAGCGATGGACCAGACAATCCAGCGATGGACCAGACAATCCAGCGATGGACCAGACAATACAGCGATGGAACAGACAATCCAGCGATTGGCCAGACAATCCAGCGATGGACCAGTCACACATTCTTTAAAGATTGTAATAACCGCAACTCAGCATTCTGTAACCCATAATTGTATCATTATTTCAAAATGACAATGATTGAGAAAGGAGTCATTTTCTGGAAATCAGCTTCCGCTGTGATGCGAAAGAAAAATCAACTGTTTCAGTCAGAGGTATCATTTATGCTTTTAAACCCCCGATTGACCAATAGAATCTAATATTCTCCAAATCCGTGGTAGCGTACGAGGTAAACAATTGATTCGAGTAAACTATGCTTTGGGTAGCCATACGTGAAACGTTTGCACTGTACATGTATACAAATCAAAATCTGCTAAGGATCTAGTTTCAATGAGATCAAAAACTCAACCAACGAATAAGGATTGAAAAATATCCAAATACACAATGATGGGGCACCCCTGAAGTACCTCAATTTCATGATGAACGGGCAAAGGCATGCAGTCATTGGCACGTCAATTGGACAGACCAAGGTTCCATTATATTTTACGGATGAGTCGAGATACTGTCTAGACGTCACAGGTCGTCGTGCACGACTGGCGTAGACAAGGAGACAGATTTCAGGGTTCTAACGTAACCAAACATGACCGCAATGGAGTGGGTTCACTCATGATTTCGGGTGAGGTCAGTAGAGCTGGACGAACCAATCTCCATGTCCTACAACGGGGCACGATTACAGGTATGTGCTACAGCTGCTGGGGTGACATTCTGGATGTGTACGTGAGACCGATGCAATCGGACCGGACTTCATCCTCTTGGAAGATAACGCACGACCTCATCGTGCCAGGATCGTTGGTGCCTACGTAGAGTAGGAAACCATTGTCCGCATGGAGTGGCCAGCCCGGTCTGCAGATCTCCACCCTGTCGAACACACGTGGAACGAGCTGCAGATCGCCCTCTCACGACGCCCTGTTCTTCGCCAAATCTGCAGAAATTCGGCAATGCTCTTACTGTTCCCTTGGCAACCACCCAGGCACTTATTGGGAGCATGAGACGACGGTGACATACGCGCTACTGAGAGTTGGTTTTAGGGGCCAATGGAGTTATTTTTGTAATTTTGTAACTTCAGTTTTGGTCAGATACTCTCATTTGGACAAGCGATCTATGGTAAGACTACTTTTTCGTTTCTCTTTTGCAGAGTATATATTATTGCAAACATATAATATGTCGTATTCTATTTCAGGAAATGTTTCCGCTGGATATGGAGTCCTGATACAAGCTGTCCATTGCGAAGTGATGGCAAACCGAAACAGAACCCTTAGTGAGAAGGTTCCGATAGATGAAATTGAGTCCCTGCTTCTGTCGCGTCTGATGGCATCCTATGACCTCGAACCTCACGCTGGCTTTGCACCTTGTCATGTTGACAATGATCGTGATAATTGGCTCAACCACCAGGACACTCTACAGATGGCTACAGTCAACACTGCAGCAACACCAAGGCTTTATCCAGACTTACAACTTTTCAACAACGGTTCGTGTACACTTTAGTACGAATGTGAATTCTTGTGTTTGCTGGTGTAGTGTGTGAATGAGTGAGTCTGTGATTATATCGAAAAACATTTAATAATATATTATGCTTCAGACTGTTGAAGAAAAAAGAACTTGCCTGCCACAAAAAAATGACGTTGCAGGTGCCTCCCTAATAAATAAATAAAATATCTGGTTTTGTAGCTGTAAATGAAAAAATATACATCTAAATTCCATACAAAATCCCCCACCAGCCTCCATCGAAAAGTCACTATATGCAATAAACCAGAAATTATTATGCATAAAGTTTTCTTACTTACTCACCAACTCAAACAGTTATTCACTGTTTGGCAATACTAGGCTTTCTAACAAACCTATACTTCCCATCAGGAAATATACCAGTTGAACCACGACAGATGCCAACAGCTCCACCTTACCAGTCATCGGAACCATCCTCACTGTCCTCGGCCCAGCAGTTGCGACCGTATCTCCCGCCAGTGTTGGATGGCATCAGGACGCCAGTGGCGTCTTACCTGGCAACAAATACCTTCCCACTCAGAGGACCGGGTCTCGGGGATATAGTGAAATCGTCAGAGGTTCAACAGTTTCTCAAGAAGGTCCAGCTGGAACACCAGTGTAGCATCAGTATGGAGGAGGTTGTGACAGGTTTGTGTCGGTATACTGGGAATAATTCGTGAGATCGTTGTACAGTGATCCCCATTAGTCCGGACGGTGACGTTTCCAGGTAGTCAGTATTCCATGTGTGGCTTTCAGGTTGTCAGTACGCACTAGTGTCGTGTCTCTCGTGGTAGGGTTCATATTCTAACTACTCAATGGGTGTCTCCTCGTGTGGCTTCCAGGTAGTCAGCACTCCATGCTTGTCTCCACCTGTGGCTTCCAGGTAGTCAGCACTCCATGCGTGTCTCCACGTGTGGCTTCCAGGTAGTCAGCACTCCATGCGTGTCTCCAGGTGTAGCTTCCAGGTAGTCAGCACTCCATGCGTGTCTCCACGTGTGGCTTCCAGGTAGTCAGCACTCCATGCGTGTCTCCACGTGTGGCTTCCAGGTAGTCAGCACTCCATGCGTGTCTCCACGTGTGGCTTCCAGGGAGTCAGCACTCCATGCGTGTCTCCACGTGTGGCTTCCAGGTAGTCAGCACTCCATGCGTGTCTCCAGGTGTAGCTTCCAGGTAGTCAGCACTCCATGCGTGTCTCCACGTGTGGCTTCCAGGTAGTCAGCACTCCATGCGTGTCTCCACGTGTGGCTTCCAGGTAGTCAGCACTCCATGCGTGTCTCCACGTGTGGCTTCCAGGTAGTCAGCACTCCATGCGTGTCTCCACGTGTGGCTTCCAGGTAGTCAGCACTCCATGCGTGTCTCCACGTGTGGCTTCCAGGTAGTCAGCACTCCATGCGTGTCTCCACGTGTGGCTTCCAGGTAGTCAGCACTCCGTGCTTGTCTCCACCTGTGGTTTCCAGGTAGTCAGCACTCCATGCGTGTCTCCACGTGTGACTTCCTGGTAGTCAGCACTCCATGCGTGTCTCCACGCGTAGCTTCCAGGTAGTCAGCACTCCATGCGTGTCTCCACGCGTAGCTTCCAGTTAGTCAGCACTCCATGCGTGTCTCCACGCGTAGCTTCCAGTTAGTCAGCACTCCATGCGTGTCTCCACGCGTAGCTTCCAGGTAGTCAGCACTCCATGCGTGTCTCCACGTGTGGCTTCCAGGTAGTCAGCACTCCATGCGTGTCTCCACGTGTGGCTTCCAGGTAGTCAGCACTCCGTGCTTGTCTCCACCTGTGGTTTCCAGGTAGTCAGCACTCCATGCGTGTCTCCACGTGTGACTTCCTGGTAGTCAGCACTCCATGCGTGTCTCCACGCGTAGCTTCCAGGTAGTCAGCACTCCATGCTTGTCTCCACGTGTGGTTTCCAGGTAGTCAGCACTCCATGCTTGTCTCCACGCGTAGCTTCCAGGTAGTCAGCACTCCATGCTTGTCTCCACGTGTGGTTTCCAGGTAGTCAGCACTCCATGCGTGTCTCCACGTGTGACTTCCAGGTAGTCAGCACTCCATGCTTGTCTCCACGTGTGGTTTCCAGGTAGTCAGCACTCCATGCTTGTCTCCACGTGTGGTTTCCAGGTAGTCAGCACTCCATGCTTGTCTCCACGTGTGGTTTCCAGGTAGTCAGCACTCCATGCTTGTCTCCACGCGTAGCTTCCAGGTAGTCAGCACTCCGTGCTTGTCTCCACGTGTGGTTTCCAGGTAGTCAGCACTCCATGCTTGTCTCCACCTGTGGTTTCCAGGTAGTCAGCACTCCATGCTTGTCTCCACGTGTGGCTTCCAGGTAGTCAGTACTCCGTGCGTGTCTCCACGTGTGGTTTCCAGGTAGTCAGCACTCCATGCTTGTCTCCACGTGTGGCTTCCAGGTAGTCAGTACTCCGTGCGTGTCTCCACGTGTGGTTTCCAGGTAGTCAGCACTCCATGCTTGTCTCCACGTGTGGTTTCCAGGTAGTCAGTACTCCGTGCTTGTCTCCACGTGTGGTTTCCAGGTAGTCAGCACTCCATGCTTGTCTCCACCTGTGGTTTCCAGGTAGTCAGCACTCCATGCTTGTCTCCACCTGTGGTTTCCAGGTAGTCAGCACTCCATGCTTGTCTCCACCTGTGGTTTCCAGGTAGTCAGCACTCCATGCGTGTCTCCACGTGTGGCTTCCAGGTAGTCAGTACGTAGTAGTGTAGTGTCTCTCTCGGGGTAGGCCTAGTTTTCAAGTTGTCAATATCCTGTTCTTGTCTCCAACTATGGTTTTCATCTTCTCAGTGTGGCTTTCACATTGTAGGGGCACGGATGGCCCAGTCGTCTAAGGCGCCGCGATTCGCTGTGCAGGGTTGCGTCCCTTGGGCACGCCAGAAACCTATGATTGTGGGTTCGAATCCCGGTTGCACCGATTATGTTTCTAGGTTTGTCAGCACCATACCCGTGCTCGTGGGTTTCACCAAAGTGGTAAACATCTGAGACCTGCATTGCTTCGGGCTTTCCTCCCACATTAAGCTGACACACCGTGATATAACTGGAATAATGTTAAAAACGGCTATAAACCAAACTCACTCAATCACTTTCATATTGTCAATACCCCATGTGAATATCAGGATGCCAGTAGACTGTGCATATCTACCCATAGAGTTTAAAGTCGCCAGGACTCAGCGCTAGTCTCCCCAAGAGGTTTTCAGGTTCCAAGTGCAACATGTTTGTCCCTCTGTGTGCATTCTCATTAAGAATATTTCATCTTACCTGGCTTATATGAACTCGTTAATTCCCCATGCTATCAGCTGATTACGATGGGGATCGGATTGTACAATCTGTCACAAATCTTTTCGAGTGACCCATGCTATTAACCACTGATTTGACTGGCGAAGACTCGAAAATCGACAGACCCCAGTAATAAGGTTGGAAGTGGAGTTAAAAACACTTCTACGCAATCAAGATATGAATGTTAAAGCAATAACAAGGCAGCAATATTCATTATTTGACAGATAACATAGGCTTTTCATAATACATATATATTTTCTGTCGTTTACTAGAACTATACAGTAAACTACGTTTAAAACGAGCACGCTTATAACGAACTGACCGATATAACGAACTTATTTTTAGTCCCGCCATTTGTTGTATATATGCTGTATATATGCTTATAACGAACTACGGTTATTACGAACTAAAATTAGTGGTCCCTTTGAGTTCGTTATAACCGTAGTTTACTGAAGCACAATGTGCATGATTTCATATGAAGTGTTTTCTTCAGATAAACAAAACTTCAACGTGCATTTGCTGAGCGGGAACATTATACATACAAAGGTATTGTATCCAAACTGTTTGATATGGAAGAGCTGGTTATATGTAAACATTTGGATAACGGCAGAGCCATTTTTATTTACATCTATTTCTGTTTTCCAAGTGACATACTGATTCTGTAAATAATCAAAATTGAGTATCAAATTTCTGGGTTTGTAACCGCTCTATGGAAATATGACTATTCTTTAAGTTAACATATCGTTTTAAGTTTCAACAGTATCAGTAAATGTGTTATCGTGTGACTGGTCTGGTCCATCACTTGATTGTCAGGTTTGTTTACCTGCAGGAGTAATGTTGTGCAGCGTTAGTCAACAGACACATACATGTACCTTTGTGTGCAAATAGTGTAAGTGGCGGATGATCCAGGTGGGGCAAGACATGCTTACCCTTTTCGCGAACACCTGGTGTCATCACTGATTTTGAGTGATTCATTCATATAATTTTTACCGCTATTTTGCCTTTAACGTCAGCGGAATCTGTTTCGGATAATTGCCACAGGTTAACCGATGGCGTGGACGTCTTAATCCTGCCTCTTTGTGTCATATGACTTGAAACAGAACTGTTGGCCATCTGTGTTCATGAGGTGCCAATGCGGTGCCAATGATGTGGCGGTGATATCTAAAATGATATCAATGCCATATGAGATAATTCCAAAAAATGCATGGATATATATATATATATATATAGATATAGATATAGATAGATAGATAGATAGATAGATAGATAGATAGATAGATAGATATAGATTGATAGATATATCAATCAAGATATATATATATATGGGTAAAAGCGTACTTTTGAACATAAACAGTGACGTCAACTACTTTTCAAAATAATAAACATATTTTCAAAATAATAAACAAATTTTCAAAATAATAAACATATTTTCAAAATAATAAACATATTTTCAAAGTAATAAACATATTTTCAAAATAATAAACATATGTGTAATCGTAGCCCACTTTTGCATTTGAGATGTTCCCGTTTGATTGCATACCTTACCTTTTGAAACTGTCATTTAAAGGCGGATGTCCTTGTCACATCGGTGTCCCCCGATCTTGATCTGAATAAAGATTCTCTCTCCCGTGTCGTCTCGGCGATGGCAGGGCCTGACCTGCAAACAAGCCTAGATGGGCGGTACCCACACGGGGTGCGAGTCGGCGATGTCGTGGACGCCATGCCGGGACGTCTTCATTGTTCTCTGATCCTGCATGCCTGTCTGTCCCGCTTTGACGGAGATTACCATGGAGACTGTATATCCGTGAGAACGTGTTTTGTCATTCTGTTTTTTACAGTCTTCATTTTACCATTTATTTACATGGGCGTGTCAGTTACAGCAGAAGTAGTGATTGAAATGTGCATGTGATAAGGTCTCGATTCGTTCTAGATAATTGCACACTTATATAGCCACGTAACGCATGAAGATATGTGTGTGTGTGTCTGTGTGTGCGGTTGCATCTGCATTTGTTTGCGTGTGTTGGCAGAGGACAGATAAATACACAGAATTGTGGATGAGTTGGTATGAGTAGATATACAGATTTGAAATGTCAAAACGGGGATGTATAAATGGATTTAGGGTACCTAAAGGCATGTAAATATGCAGGTTAATATAGTTTGATCAGAAACGTAGATATATTCACAGAGAGAGAGAGAGAGAGAGAGAGAGAGAGAGAGATAGCGCGCAAGCATAGAAGGCTGTACAGATGATAATCAGTGTTGCCTTCAACAGACACTGAGGACAGTTCTGCTCAAGTGTCTTCAGCTGACCACACAGAGAGGCTTCAAGTCAATTGCCCTTCCAGCCCTAGGCACCGGTCAGCTGGGTTATCCCCCTTCCACGGTGGTGGAGCTGCTGATGGGTGTGTACAGTGAGATCACCTCTGACATGGGCTCAGGTCTTGAAGTGTTTGTTATTGTTGAGCCGCCCAAACACCGTCTCTTCCAGGTATTTGACTTGACAGTTATGTATTTATGACCCGGCAATTTAATATTCTGATTCAAATAAGGAATTGTACCCTGGACTAAGTTGTTGTTCTACAACATTTGTTTAATAATGGCTTCGGCTTCAGCATTGGCTTCGGCTCTGACGCCACCTTCCAAAGAAAGCATTGTATGCCTTAAAGCATCCTTTCTCTCCAACAAGGGGCGGTCGGGTAGCCTAGTGGTTAAAGCGTTCGCTCGTCACGCCGAAGACCCAGGTTCGATTCCCGACATGGGTACAATGTGTGAAGCCCATTTCTGGTGTCCCCCGCCGTGATATTGCTGGAATATTGCTAAAAGCGGCGTAAAACCATACTCACTCACTCTCTCCAACAAAGCAGCGCAACAGTAAATTTCACAGATTACCTAAAGGTACTTAATTTGTGGATAAGGAGTCCAACAGAACATTTCCCACATTACCTGAAGGTGCTTCATTACAGTTATTGATGAGGAATCTAACAGTACATTGCACACTTTACTTGCAGGCACTTAGAGGAAAACTGCAAGAAATGAACCGTATTTTCATCGGGCGCGAAGGTAAAATGCAATTTTTTTCTGGACATACAATACTTGAGATGTTAATGTAAATTTAGTACTGAACGTCGTAAGATGTAGACGTAGTACATCAATGTTTGTTCAAATTCCTGATTAAAGATTTGTAAGATGTGAAAAAAACATAATTTAAAAACAATAGTGCGATTCCAGAAAAATCAGCATCCTTACTTTAGGCACACACCCACCATCCACAATAGCGAAGTTGATTCCTTGAATACGTCAATAAGAACAGGTTGTTAATATGCATTGAAACTCCGAACAAAACCAAAAAAATCCAGTCAAATCGTCAAATCCAATTAGGGGCGGTCGGGTAGCCTAGTTCGCTCGTCACGCCGAAGACCCGGGTTCGAATCCCGACATGGGTACAATGTGTGAAGCCCATTTCTGGTGTCCCCCGCCGTGATATTGCTGGAATATTGCTAAAAGCGGCGTAAAATCAAACTCACTCACTCTCAAATCCAATTAACAAATAAGGAATTTCTATTGTGTATTGGTCTTTCTTTTCCAACAGCAACCGTCAAATAGGGAGCGCTTCGGGGCTTGGGAGGGATTCTGGAGATTACTGAGTTTAATTGCATTTCGTTGTGTTGTGACTGACATTCGATTATTCAGTCTAATTAAATAGCGTTCAGAAAGAGTTCATTCAAATGATGACAGACACATATGGTTTGTTCATGGACTAGAATTGGTCCTGAGCAGCCTGTACTTGATCGAGACGGTCACATGGAATGGGTTGTCAGAGTTTGTGATTTGGTCCATTGCGTGCCATCGTTCCCCGACAGCGTGTGACGTTGTTCAGATGATCAATCGCTAGTTTGACTGTTTTGTTTGTTTGTTGTTTGACGCCGCACTCAGAAATATTCCAGCTATATTTGAGGAATAAATAATCGAGTCGGGACCAGGTAATCCAGTGATTGACATCATGAGCATCGATCTACGCAATGGCGATACGATGACATGCAGCCTGACCACCTGGTCCCGTTAGTCGCCTCTTATGACAAGCATAGTCGCCTCTTACGACAAGCATGGGTTGCTGAAGATCTATTCTAACCCGAATCTTCACGGGTATGGCCCAGGTTTAATGTTACAGGCCGTCGTCATATTGCTGTGTGAAACGTTGAACAAGAAACGCACAAAGAACAATTATGTCACTTTCTCATTTTGTTCACAGTTATCATGATAGGAAGTATCCAACTGGAAGTTATTCTGGGTGATGCGAAGCAGGAAGATGCCGACGTGATTGTATACATCACACAACCAGGATCAGGTGTGTCTGCAGTTATATGTCATTAATAAATATATCACTAAAAATCATTAAATTATAATGTACCCTTCTTTTGAACGAACATGGTATTGTCTTGCAAGATCTATCAACGGGCTTACCAGTATATGGGCGCACACGCGCACGCACACACATACGCACACGCACGCACACACACACACGTACACTCACATAAACACACACACGCACACGCGCATAAACACTCACACGCACAAACACACACGCGCACACACACACACGCACACACACACGTACACGCACATAAACACACACACGCACACAAACGTACACGCACATGAACACACACACGCGCACACACACGCACACGCACATACACACGTACACGCACATAAACACATGCACACGCACACGCACGCACACACACGCACACGCGCACATAAACACACACTGTATGAGCTGTATATTAGACAGATACGTCAATCCTAGTTCACCAACTGAATATATCACACCAACACACGCCTATTTCACAGCTGAACACAACCTACTAACACAAGCCTATTTCACAGCTGAACACATCATACTAACACAACCCTATTTCACAGCTGAACACATCATACTAACACAAGACTATTTCACAGCTGACCACATCATACTAACACAAGACTATTTCACAGCTGAACACAGCATACTAACACAAGCCTATTTCACAGCTGAACACAGCATACTAACAAAAGCCTATTTCACAGCTGAACACATCATACTCACACAAGCCTATTTCACAGCTGAACACATCATACTCACACAAGACTATTTCACAGCTGAACACATCATATTAACACACGCCTATTTCACAGCTGAACACATCTTACTAACACAAGACTATTTCACAGCTGACCACATCATACTAACACACGCCTATTTCACAGCTGAACACATCGTACTAACACAAGCCTATTTCACAGCTGAACACATCATACTCACACAAGACTATTTCACAGCTGAACACATCACACTCACACAAGACTATTTCACAGCTGAACACATCATACTCACACAAGCCTATTTCACAGCTGAACACATCATACTAACACAAGCCTATTTCACAGCTGAACACATCATACTCACACAAGCCTATTTCACAGCTGAACACATCATACTAACAGAAGCCTATTTCACAGCTGAACACATCATACTCACACAAGACTATTTCACAGCTGAACACATCATACTAACACATGCCTATTTCACAGCTGAACACATCGTACTCACACAAGCCTATTTCACAGCTGAACACATCATACTAACACAAGCCTATTTCACAGCTGAACACATCATACTAACACACGCCTATTTCACAGCTGAACACATCGTACTAACACAAGCCTATTTCACAGCTGAACACATCGTACTAACACAAGCCTATTTCACAGCTGAACACATCATACTCACACAAGACTATTTCACAGCTGAAAACATCAAACTAACACAAGACTATTTCACAGCTGAACACATCATACTCACACAAGCCTATTTCACAGCTGAACACATCATACTAACACAAGCCTATTTCACAGCTGAACACATCATACTCACACAAGCCTATTTCACAGCTGAACACATCATACTAACACAAGCCTATTTCACAGCTGAACACATCATACTCACACAAGACTATTTCACAGCTGAACACATCATACTAACACACGCCTATTTCACAGCTGAACACATCGTACTCACACAAGCCTATTTCACAGCTGAACACATCATACTCACACAAGCCTATTTCACAGCTGAACACATCATACTAACACACGCCTATTTCACAGCTGAACACATCGTACTAACACAAGCCTATTTCACAGCTGAACACATCATACTCACACAAGACTATTTCACAGCTGAACACATCATACTCACACAAGACTATTTCACAGCTGAACACATCATACTAACACAAGACTATTTCACAGCTGAACACATCGTACTAACACAAGACTATTTCACAGCTGAACACATCATACTCACACAAACCTATTTCACAGCTGAACACATCGTACTAACAAAAGCCTATTTCACAGCTGAACACATCATACTAACACACACCTATTTCACAGCTGAACACATCGTACTAACACAAGCCTATTTCACAGCTGAACACATCATACTAACACAAGCCTATTTCACAGCTGAACATCATATTAACACAAGCCTATTTCACAGCTGAACACATCATACTCACACAAGCCTATTTCACAGGTGAACACATCGTACTAACACAAGCCTATTTCACAGCTGAACACATCATACTAACACAAGCCTATTTCACAGCTGAACACATGATATTAACACAAGCCTATTTCACAGCTGAACACATCATACTAACACAAGCCTATTTCACAGCTGAACACAGCATACTAACACACGCCTATTTCACAGCTGACCACATCATACTAACACAAGCCTATTTCACAGCTGAACACATCATACTAACACAAGCCTATTTCACAGCTGAACACATCATACTAACACAAGCCTATTTCACAGCTGAACACATCATACTAACACAAGCCTATTTCACAGCTGAACACATCATATTCACACAAGCCTATTTCACAGCTGAACACATCATACTAACACAAGCCTATTTCAAAGCTGAACACAGCATACTAACACACGCCTATTTCACAGCTGAACACATACTACCAACACAAACCTATTTCACAGCTGAACACATCATACTAACACACGCCTATTTCACAGCTGAACACATCATACTAACACAAGCCTATTTCACAGCTGAACACATCATACTAACACAAGCCTATTTCACAGCTGAACACATCGTACTAACACAAGCCTATTTCACAGCTGAACACATCGTACTAACACAAGCCTATTTCACAGCTGAACACATCATACTCACACAAGCCTATTTCACAGCTGAACACATCATACTCACACAAGCCTATTTCACAGCTGAACACATCATACTAACACAAGCCTATTTCACAGCTGAACACATCATACTAACACAAGCCTATTTCACAGCTGAACACATCGTACTAACACACGCCTATTTCACAGCTGAACACATCATACTAACACAAGCCTATTTCACAGCTGAACACATCATACTAACACAAGCCTATTTCACAGCTGAACACATCATACTAACACAAGCCTATTTCACAGCTGAACACAACCTACTAACACAAGCCTATTTCACAGCTGAACACATCATACTAACACAAGCCTATTTCACAGCTGAACACATCATACTAACACAAGACTATTTCACAGCTGAACATATCGTACTAACACAAGCCTATTTCACAGCTGAACTCATCATACTAACACAAGCCTATTTCACAGCTGAACATATCATACTAACACAAGCCTATTTCACAGCTGAACACATCATACTAACACAAGACTATTTCACAGCTGAACACATCATACTAACACAAGCCTATTTCACAGCTGAACACATCATACTCACACAAGACTATTTCACAGCTGAACACATCATACTAACACACGCCTATTTCACAGCTGAACACATCGTACTCACACAAGCCTATTTCACAGCTGAACACATCATACTCACACAAGCCTATTTCACAGCTGAACACATCATACTAACACACGCCTATTTCACAGCTGAACACATCGTACTAACACAAGACTATTTCACAGCTGAACACATCGTACTAACACAAGACTATTTCACAGCTGAACACATCATACTCACACAAGCCTATTTCACAGCTGAACACATCGTACTAACAAAAGCCTATTTCACAGCTGAACACATCATACTAACACACACCTATTTCACAGCTGAACACATCGTACTAACACAAGCCTATTTCACAGCTGAACACATCATACTAACACAAGCCTATTTCACAGCTGAACACATCATATTAACACAAGCCTATTTCACAGCTGAACACATCATACTCACACAAGCCTATTTCACAGGTGAACACATCGTACTAACACAAGCCTATTTCACAGCTGAACACATCATACTAACACAAGCCTATTTCACAGCTGAACACATCATATTAACACAAGCCTATTTCACAGCTCAACACATCATACTAACACAAGCCTATTTCACAGCTGAACACAGCATACTAACACACGCCTGTTTCACAGCTGAACACATCGTACTAACACAAGCCTATTTCACAGCTGAACACATCATACTAACACAAGCCTATTTCACAGCTGAACACATCATACTAACACAAGCCTATTTCACAGCTTAACACATCATATTCACACAAGCCTATTTCACAGCTGAACACATCATACTAACACAAGCCTATTTCAAAGCTGAACACAGCATACTAACACACGCCTATTTCACAGCTGAACACATACTACCAACACAAACCTATTTCACAGCTGAACACATCATACTAACACACGCCTATTTCACAGCTGAACACATCATACTAACACAAGCCTATTTCACAGCTGAACACATCATACTAACACAAGCCTATTTCACAGCTGAACACATCGTACTAACACAAGCCTATTTCACAGCTGAACACATCGTACTAACACAAGCCTATTTCACAGCTGAACACATCATACTCACACAAGCCTATTTCACAGCTGAACACATCATACTCACACAAGCCTATTTCACAGCTGAACACATCATACTAACACAAGCCTATTTCACAGCTGAACACATCATACTAACACAAGCCTATTTCACAGCTGAACACATCGTACTAACACACGCCTATTTCACAGCTGAACACATCATACTAACACAAGCCTATTTCACAGCTGAACACATCATACTAACACAAGCCTATTTCACAGCTGACCACCTCATACTCACACAAGCCTATTTCACAGCTGAACACGTCATACTAACACACGCCTATTTCACAGCTGAACACATCATACTCACACAAGCCTATTTCACAGCTGAACACATCGTACTAACACAAGCCTATTTCACAGCTGAACACATCGTACTAACACAAGCCTATTTC